GCCGCGCGGACCGGCTTCGAGCAGATTTCCTTTGTTCTCTTTTTCGTTCATTATTTTTCTTGCAAAACTGTTCGGTGCCGGGCGGTCTTGTCAACCTAGAAAGGGGGTCCCCCGCTGCCCCGATCCTCTCTTTTACAGGACACTAAGCGGGACAGATCTTCCAACTCCGCCCCGGGAGGCGCGGGAAGTCGCCGGCCAGACGCACGGCACGGCACGGCACGGCACGGCACGGGGCGATGTTCCCGTCGGCGGCGCTTTGCTCTCCTCAGGGCCACGCCTCGCCACGCCCCGCCACGCCCTGGAACACGCACCGGCTGCAGTGCTCCGCGGTCAAAAGTGATGCAACTCGTCCCCGAGATTCAGCCTCCGTGCCGCATGTTGGTCGGAAGGGCGGGGCCGCGGGAGGGGCAGAACATCGCGCCCGGCTGTTCACCTGCTCCTCCTCTTCTCCCACTTGTACCCGTCCCGCCCGCCTCCACCAACCTCGCGGCTCGCTCGAACCTCTCTAAACTCGCTTTCGTCCCCGTCATTAGCGGGACATTGAGAGCACGGGGGCAGGCCAGGGCGTTTGCATGAGCGAGAAGTGCGCCCTGGATAGTGAGAGATTTTGGTCCGTGTCGACGCAGCGGACCTGCGTCCTAGCGGGGACGTGGTCGAGGACGTGGTGGCAGCTCCATCCGACCAATCCGACCCACTTGCGGTCGTGAGGTGCCGGGAGAGCATTGAATGTACCCTTTTGGGCCACTCCAGCTACTCCTCCAGACTCCAGGGCGACCACCTCTCGTCGCCCAATGGAGATAGTCCGGTCCGGAGGCCGCGCTTCCCCGCCCCGCCAGGACGCACCGGTTGCACCCCGTCCGCCCGGCCAGGCCGACAAGGCCACGACGCTGGCTGTTCGGGGGCGGGAAGGACGACGGAATTCGAAAAATAACAGCACGTCTTGGCGTGCTGTTCACGCATCAAGACTATGGTGGTGCCGGTGAGGGTTGTTGCCACACTCTCATTACGAGGTCACTCGGATCACAACCGAGTGAGCCGCACGAATGGCGGCTGTGGCGGTGGCGGTGGCGTCTCCTCGACTGCCGGAAGATGTTCCACGATGCAGCGAGGCTGGAGTACGCAAGGTTCGGCCGCGCTGCCCGGGGCTGCATTCCTGTAACGCACCCGAACACAGCCTCTGGCCCCCCGCGCTCGACTATAACGGCGTCACGAAGTCCGGTGGAGCGGAGAGCGTCTGGAGGGTCACTGCCATGACGCACGCACAGCTGCCGCAGCTGAACTTCACGGTGTTAATTACCCATCACAACAATTTTCTAGCATTTTATGTTTTTTTCCCTCTTACAAAACTTCACGCGCCAGTTTGTGTGTACCCTACTTTTGCCATAGGGTCTTTTCACCTCGCTTTTTCTCGTACAAGACTGGCTGCTGCTGCAAAACCACCACCCCCCGCCAACACCCATACCCCTCCGTTGCCCTCAGCAGCTGCCAATTACATAAAAATTATACAGCCTCGCAGCGCACCGCCTAGTGAAGCGCCGCCGCCGCCGCGTCCCGCGAGTTACGGAGTGGAGTGCGTTTAGCGCGTCTACGTCTGCCAGACTTACTTGGCGGGCCGGAGGAAGGGAGGAGGGTGGTGCAGCCGCCTGACGCCTTGCCGCCAGCGGCGCGCCAAACGTCGGCAAAGTGCAGCCTAGAGGTGCAGCCCGTCGCGGCCCCGGCCGGCCCCGGGAGGGGCGCTTATGTCGCGTCATTACGTGCGGCTGCCGCCGGTGGGGCGCGGCGCACCTGCAGCTGCAGCTGGGGGAGGTGCGCCGCCGGCACCCTCCAGCAGCCGCCGGAGGCCCCGCCCGGGCCCCGCCCACCCGGGCCTGCCACCGGTGACATGCGATGGGGGCGGAAGAGAGTAGTTATTGCCGTTATTGTTTCATCTCCCCCCGCCCTCCCCTCCGCGCGCCAGTTAGTGGAGCCGTCACGCGCAGAAGAGGGAAGGACCAGGAAAGACAAACGCGCAGCAGGG